AAACTTGTAGTTTGTATTATGTGGGATTGGAAAAGTCAAGAATACCATCAAAAGCTTTTGTGTTGGGATTTCATTCATCAAGTGTGGGTGGGTGGTGAGTCCATCTCTTCTTTTTTTCATATGTTTAAATACTAAAATAGTAAATCTATCTATCATATTTATAGTGTCACTAATGAAAATAAAACAATAAAAGTTAATATTAAATAATAATTCTGTATATTGGATGAGAATAAGTCAATCTCGTATGATATTGTCTCTTCTAGATTGTGAGATGTGTAATAATTTTTTAAAGAAAATATAATACTTTTAATTTTTATACATAAATCCATATTAATTAATTTTATTTTTTATATTAAACTTAACAATATATATATATATATATATATATATATATATATATATATATATATATATATATATATATATATATATATATAATTAGAGACCTCAGTCAAGTTATTTTTATTCTTTTTATTTTTCCAAAAGACGAGATGAATCCGGGAGAGACTCAAGCTATTGATCGACTTCCCTAACTCTATGACTTTGACTTTTTATGGACAACCTAAATTATTTTACTTCTTTATAATTATTTATCGAGTAAGATCATCACAAAATTGGATTTATCTCATTCCCACCGTCACATGATTGTTGTTTCCCGTCACTCGAAGTATTTCCCACTTTTGGCCCACAATATGACATTATCACTTATGAGATTCAAACAAAATAATATTATTTTATATTGATATATGAAAAATATAGAATTAAGGATTAATTAAACAAGTGGTAGATAATGCTACAGTTACTGCACAGCACTCACGGCAGTTTGGAGTCAGCACAGTGTCCGACATCCTAGTATAAATACGAAATACACGCAAAGCAACTGGGGAGGTGAGGTGAGGTGGGGGTGGAGGAGAATTGCAGTAGCAATAAGCAATACCCTGCCAGTGGAGTGGGAAGAAGAAGAAGAAGAAGAAGAAGAAATGGGTGTTGAATTGCAATGCAATAATAGCAACCAGATTGGCGGCGGCGGGAGCGGTGGTGCTCCGGTGGTTCTGGGTTTGCAGCCGGCGGCCCTGGCGGATCACGTAGCCAGGGTCGATTCGTCCCTCCTCTCTCAAATCCCCGGCGAGCGTGGCGGCTCCTTCCCCGTATTCCCTTCTCCCTTTCTTTGTTTCTCTCTCTCTGTGTATTGTTAAAATACATGATTTTGTGTTGATTTCGCTTTTGCTTGACAGAGTTACAATGATACTTGGTAATTCTTTGTGATTGTTTCAAAGTTATGGTCTTCTGGTAGATTCTTGAATGCGGGCAGAAAGATTATGTGGGCAATTAAAGGTTGGATCTTTGAATATGTGGGCGTGATTTTGCCTTTATGTGTTTGTGAGTTTATGCAGCCGTGAGCTGGAGCTGATTACTGTTTAATGAATTTGGTTAAATTGGTTGGTTTCTTAGTACAATATGCAGCTGTTGTTTGCAATTCTTGGATTATTTTATGTTGAATTCTGCTTGTAATTCATTGCATTTGGCCTGCCTTAAAAGTTAGGGTGCAAAAGTTCCAAGTTCGGTTCCCGGTGGGAGCGGCCTATTGGCTTTCTTGGTTTAAGCCAGTCAGGTATGGGAAACCAATGCTGGTTTATGGTCCTTTATAGTCAGCTAGGGTTACAAAGCGGGGTTTGCCTAGCTACGGGTTTCCCAGGTCACTCAAATTAGGTTGCAAAAGTTCCAAGTTCGGTTCTCGGTGGGAGCGTCCTATTGGCTTTCTTGGTTTAAGCCAGTCAGCTCTGGGAAACCAATGCTGGTTTATGGTCCTTTATAGTCAGCTAGGGTTACAAAGCGGGGTTTACCTAGCTACGGGTTTCCCTCGTCACTCAAATTAGGTTGCAAAAGTTCCAAGTTCGGTTCTCGGTGGGAGCGGCCTATTGGCTTTCTTGGTTTAAGCCAGTCAGCTATGGGAAACCAATGCTGGTTTATGGTCCTTTACTTGCTAGGGTTACCAGGCAGGGTTTACCTAGCTACGGGTTTCCCTCGTCACTCAAATTAGGTTGCAAAAGTTTTGGTGCTGAGATATCTATGTTTTGTGACCAGAGCGGAATCAGGATCTTGTGGAATCCAAGAAACAATGTGACTGCATATACTTTAATGGTGAAGAATCAGGATGGGACAAAATCATAGAGGATGGGCAAAACAATATTCTCTAGAAAGGAGAATAGTTTGGATTGATCTTGAATCCCGAGTGAGAATCCTAAAAGGGATTGATCCCCTAAAAAAGAATAGTCTAGACGACGGACCATATTTATAATGTTCAGGACCAACACTTCCCATCTGTTTTTATAGTAGAACATAATATTGTGGACCGTTGATTCATTGTTTCTTGAATTTTAGTTTTCTTAATTACAAATTACTTTTAAAAAAAATGTGTGTTTTATCTGCTAAACTGCGAGGGATTGATATTGCCCTTTGAAATCGGAAGTGCTAACATATTTGTGTTTGACTAGAAGAGTAAAGATACAACATAATCGAAAGTTTGATTGAGCTTCTCGTAATCTTATTGTTATCCTTTGTACTACTTGTTTCAACTTCAGGTTTCGGCTAAAGAGCTGAAGCATATTCTGGATGAGATTAGTGCCCATATTCTTGCGTCCCCCGAAAATCCTTCTCCCTTGAAGACCATAGCGGGAGGAAGTGTTGCGAATACTATTAGAGGCTTGGCCGCTGGCTTCGGAATCCATTGTGGAATAATCGGGGCATACGGGAATGACGACCAAGGCAAATTGTTCATAAACAACATGAGCTTTTACGATGTGGATGCCTCGAGGTTGCGGTTGAAGAACGGATCCACAGCTCAGGTGAGCATACGTGGTACTTCTTAATTGAAGCATGTGCTCTATCTCAACTAAAAGCCTAAGCTGATAGTTGGATTGCACATTAATGGCTATATGATCAACATTCTTGATTTCTAAACAGTTCTGAAACCCGTACTAACTAACTTTGGTCCACAGTGTGTTTGTCTCGTGGATGAATTCGGGAATCGAACAATGCGTCCCTGTCTTTCGAGTGCGGTGAAAGTTCAGGTGCATGCCACTTTTTATCTCGTCAAATCAAGCGGTTCATGATTCTCAAAGATATTCGTACTGCTATTAGATATTGTGTTGCGTGAATCTTATTATGCCATCCTTTATCAGGCAGCCGAGTTGAATCGAGACGACTTCAAAGGATCAAAGGTAAGGCTTTCCAGTTGACCCGAGGGGAATTCTTTCTTTCTTTCTTTTTTTCAAACATTGGACCGTGTCTTTTGGATCAATTTTGTTTACAGTTTCGTCACTAATTACTTTAATTTTGTAACAGTGGTTAGTAATGAGATACGCAATACTAAACTTAGATGTAATCGAGGCTGCCATCCGGATCGCCAAGCAAGAAGGCCTCAATGTCTCGCTAGATCTAGCTAGCTTCGAGGTAACATGTTAGAACTATGTGTCCATTTACATATTTAAGGTACAAGAACAACTGCTCTTCTTTTCGATCGAGTTGTCTGGGATAACATTCATGAATAGAATAATTTCGTAGAAATTACTAATTACTCTCTTTGAAGTTGAACTCTGATTACCCTTTTATTTGACTAGATGGTGAGGAAGTTTAGGCAACCGCTTGTTCAGTTATTGGAGTCGGGAAAAATAGACCTTTGTTTTGCGAATGAGGATGAAGCGAAGGAGTTGCTAAGGTGATTTTCTTACATCCCCCCATTAAACACGGTTTATTTTCCGATTTTTATGTTAAATTAGCTTCGAGAAGTAGTGTTCGATTTCTTTGTGTCTTGCAGTGGGGAAGGAGATACAGAAACAGATCCCGAGGTGGCACTTGAATTCATGGCCAAATATTGCAAGTGGGCCGTTGTAACTCTCGGGCAAAAGGGGTGCATTGCTAAACACGGAAAAGAGGTAGTTGTCTTTCTTCAAACTAAGATTGAGCTAGGATCACTCAACTAGGCTATAATGCACATAGGCCAAACCACACTAAAAGATTGAATCCAACCAATTAGCTAGTCTAACCCATGGCCTTATAAACCCATATATTCTCTCTTATTTTTTCAATGTGGGACTCTTAACAGCTATGAACAGATACTACATTGTAATATGTAATAGAGTCAGTAGTGAACTTCGGTGTTTTGATTATAGGTTGTCCGGGTTCCAGCGATTGGGGAGTCGAAGGCGATAGATGCGACGGGGGCCGGAGACCTGTTCGCGAGCGGGTTTGTGTATGGACTGATAAAAGGGCTGCCGCTGGAAGCGTGCTGTCAGGTGGGTTCGTGCAGCGGTGGATCGGTGATCAGAGCTCTTGGAGGTGAGGTGACACCTGAGAACTGGCAATGGATGTACAAACAAATGCAGACCAAAGGACTCAACATCCCTCACCCTATCATCAAATGCTCTGATGAAACTGGAGATTTGTGATGATGATGATGATACTCTTGCAGTTGTGGTTCATGATTGTTGTTTACTGCCTTTTCTTTTCCATCAACCCACAAATCCCCATCCCACAACCCAAAACTATTCTTTTTCTGATTTATATGCATAAGTATAACCCCCTAATGTTGAACCTCTGCAAGATTTCACACATAAAATTTCAAATCTATCAATTTATGTTAATCTGTCTTAATCTTAACATACCCTTCTTGCATTTTCCCTTTCTTTTTTTCTCTTTTTTAAGTGAAGAGAGAAACCTGCCATTACTACTCGAGGGTGTGTACGGGCAAATCTCACCATATTTTTTGTCAGAGAGTTGTTTGTATGTGTGTTTTCTGTAGAATTAGATGCCTAAATGGAACTCCACCATCAAGAAGACTCACTAGCAACTTATGTGTGTAAAGATCGTAGCTTTCGTAAAATTTACATTCGTAGATTATGTAAGATTTTCAGAAATATTACATTACCTCAAAATATCCGTTGAACCAAACACCCCTTGGATAAGGGTGACTGAGGAAAATGTGTATGGAAACACCCACCAAAAAAAAAAGTCATCAATTTTTATTAAGCATATAATATATACCAAAGATTAAACTTAGCTCCGGGGCAATCCAACAAGGATGAAATCACAGACCATAAGGAAACACTAGTACTGCAAGTTTGATGAATCTAAGAAAGGAAAGATTCAAAGAAAAAACTGGGAAAACACAGGACTGCTAGGTTCTCAAGACTTCAGTACAAGGAATTCCAGTTACAGCCCCATCACATGCAGCATTATCGCATTCTGGGCATGCATGCGGTTTTCAGCTTGGGGGAAAACAATTGAGTTTGGCGCTTCAATTACACCATCAGTGACTTCCACGCCTCTTTCTGCTGGTAAACAATGCATGAAATAGGCTTGTGGACCGGCTAATTTCATGAGATTTTCATCCACCTGCAGATCGTGATAAGTATTGTCAAATGATTCGGGCATCATGTCGAAGTTCCAGGGTAGTAAACGTTGACGAGGAATAGTTTCTAGGGAGTCTATTCAAAGAAAATTCTATGCAATATGAATAAATCTGCACTTAGGTTCAATAGGATCGGCAAACTTTGTGGAATTTCTCACTAGAATCCATTTAAACACTCATGTTGAGCCAATGACCGTGTGGTCTAGTGGCATGAAGTGGCTCTCCCAAATGGCAGATCATGAGTTTGAACCCCAGTGGGGCAGTATTGACTCTTTGTGCTTCAGTAAGTTGAGAAAGTAGCTATGAACATATACTACATTGTAACAGAGTCAGTAATACTAAAAAAAAACACTAATGTTGAAAGTATATGGCAAATTCAGGCATTATATTCTACTTAGGACCCCACAAAAGGAATTTTAGATGTAACAACGACTAAAATAAGTCAATTTCTCATTCATAAGTCATACCTGGAATCCTTGAAAGACTTGACGGCGATGTGCTGCTTCCTCCTTTTGGCCCATGCTAGCCCAAACATCTGAATACACAACATCAGCTCCTTTGACAGCCTCCTTAGGGTCATTAGTTATTTCAATTTTGCTAACTCCGGCCTGTCGTGCTATATCAACTGTCTTCTCATCAGGCTCATACCCTTTTGGGCAAGCACAAACAAAGTGGAAAGGAATTACAGCAGCCAATAAAAGCCAGGAGTGCACAATGTTGTTTCCATCGCCAACATAGACAACCTGATATTGCAGTCACATTGTAAATTAGATTAATAATACCAGAAGGAACGTCAAATTATACCAAAGGCTGACACAGCAAAAGAGCTTACCTTTGTCCCTTCCAGATGGCCAACATGTTCAATTATTGTGAGGGCATCGGCCATTATTTGACAAGGATGGTTATAGTCTGTCAGGCCATTGATCACAGGTACACTTGAATATTTGGCTAGATCCAAAATGTCCTAAAATAGAAATAAACAAAAATATAGAGCTAACTCATTGTCAAATGAAATGAAAATCCCAAATACCACTAAAATCATATTCAGATAGGCAAGGGCATAAAGCATGATATGTCCAACAGCATAACCTGCATACTTGTATAGAGACCGTAAGGTTAAATGATTGGTCCATCACCTGCCTTTGTAATGCATTTTAAAGTGTCATAAAGACAACAAAAAAGGAGAAAAATTGGCCATGAGTAGATCTGGTTCACTTAAAAAACAAGAGTTTTTTTGGGTTGGTTGGTTTTTTTTTATTTATTTTTTTATTTTTTTATTGGGGTGGGGGGGAACAATTCAAAGGGTGCTTCATCCATAAAGTCAAACTCAAGAAAAAGTCATACGTTCCAAGCTTTTTGCAAAAGCAATAGCATATTATGCTACAAGCAAAACTGTTAAACATACTCAACGCTCCCCGGCATACCTGATGAGCGAAAACACGTGCCATGATGATATCATTATAGCGAGAAAGAACACGAGCAACATCACGGGTTTCTTCTCGCTTCCCCATCTGGATATCATTTGGTCCCAAATATAAGGCATGGCCACCAAGCAAGAAAAACCCAGTTTCAAATGAAACCCGAGTCCTCATGGATGGCTTGGCAAAAATCATTGCCATTGTTTTACCCTTAAATGGTTGATATGTTCTGTCGCCAGATTTTATGAGTGCCTTCACCTCTCTAGCTCTATCCAAGATTTTTAAAATAGTCTCCTTGTTAAAATCATTTATGTGAAGAAAGTCCTTCTGAGTCGTAGATTCTGCAATTCCAAGTGCACAGAAAAATATTAATGATGACAGATCTAAAAATAGAGAGAGAGAAAAAAAAAAAAACACATGAACATACTTTAATTGGGGTAAAAAATAGAGAGAGAGGAAAAAAAACACATGAACGTATTGGGAGGGTCAAACAAGAATTGAGGGTACAATTAAAATCCCTATAGAAGGACCAAAATGAGCTTGATTAGCATAAGCTACTCATTGGAATGTTACATATCCAAAACTTTAAAATCTAATAAACAAATTCTTTAAAGTATCAACTTTCCTCCAGATTATGAGAAATTAGAAATGTCAAGTTCCAATACACGTATACTTCAAAAGCCCAATTAACTACAGTATTTCAAAAATATTATCACAGCAGACATACCCGATATCAAACATGAAGTGAATATTCTCCTTGAAAGCACACTTTTATTGCCAAACCATCATTACAATATTCAATTAAATTCAATATCAAATAATAAATTTTAAACCTTTCCCACTGACTGAGGATAAAGATGTTGCTGGAGAGGCAGTTTGGCATGAGATGCGCTGACGGAAGGCTGGAAATGTGGTCCTGGATGGAACAGAGATGCCAAAGGACCGTAATGAAAGTCCATTGGAGGGAGTAAAATATGAAGCTGAGGAGCGTGAGGCTGAGTCGAATGATCCAACTGAGGCGAACTGCGAGGAAATAGCAGCCATTATTGGAGGTGATCAGAGAATTTGCTTGATAAACCCTAATAAGTGAACTTTAGAGTTAGAACAGCACTGGCAAGAGTACAGTTTAAAAAAGAAAGCAATATTTGTATCAATTTCACTCATAACAAGCATTTAGTTTATTTAAATTAACAAAATACAAAATCCATATACGGTGTGAATAAAAATAAGAACTTTAACAATTTGATCAAAAAATTGAAATTTATATTACATATTCTAATTAAGTGCCAAAAATAACTGATTGTTTAGCTCGATCGACCAGTTTTTGTTGGATAACCAAACTCTAAACCCAATTTAACATTTTTCCAACATGATAACCTTAAATTTTTACACGCAAATATTCCATACAAACTGAGAGCTGAATGCTTATATGACAGAAATGCTAATCCCTGAATCCCATACTTTAATGCCATTTGTATTAAACATAAATATCACTTAAATTCCGGACGAAAATTAGAATCTGTAACTACATTCCAAATTTCCAATGCGGAAAATCGGCAAAAAAGTGCATTTCCGGTTTCACAACTCGATAACATTCAGAAAGCAATAACCATGACTCCATGAAAAGCTTCATTTCCAACGTAAGAACTCATTACTCACCTAGGTTTGAGGATTCCTGCTGTTCAGATAAGCAAAGGCGGCCAGGCGACAGCACTTTGCGGAAGCTGAGAAAAATGAGAAATAAGCAGCGTCGAGGTGGCAGGCGGAGTGGCTTCAGCCGTGAAATCTTCAACAACTCATCGTCTAGGTTTTCAAATGGAATATCTGAATTTTTTTATTTTATTATTATTTTTTTTTACCGATGTGGGTCGAACTTTAATGGGCTTGGGCTGCTTGGAAATGCATTGTACCAGGACAAATTATACCATGGATTAAGGTCTATCTTGTTTGTGAATCTGATCGAAAAATTATATATCAATTTTGTTTATGTGTGTGTAAATAAATTGAAGGCACATATTCAGATACATAATATGTTAACTACAGACACAGTTAACATATTATGTGCTTTCAATTTATTTATAGACACATAGATTGTTAATTGTAAGTACATAATATATTAATTGAATGTATATAATTTTTGAATGAAAAATACTACTTGAACTCCACAAATTTACTTTAAACTTTTACTCTCAATTATGTTCAAATTTTATTGAAGTAAAAAAGTGGATAAAATTCATGACTTCTTATTATATTAAGCAATCAAAGCACGCCACATCATAAAAGTAAGAAAACTAAAATTACTCTTTTCTGACTTAAAGGTCCATAATTCAAGATGGACTTGTTCTATGGTATAACAATTGCTAAATCAGTTATTCTAAATGTCTAATGGTACATTCTATGTTTATATTGGGTTTGGGCTTGAATGTATGTTCCCTGATTTGGTTTGTTTGGTATTTATTTATATACTAGCATTTTGTACGCGCGATGCGCGAAAACTTATGCCCAATATTAAAATATTTGTAAGTAACAAAATTTAAAAAATTAATTAAAATTATGTTTTGTAATTTCTTAAAGTGATGATACTTTTGAATTATTATATATTTGAATAATATAGTGATCAAAACAAAACAAAAAAAAAATTATATTTGTATATAATAATAATTTACAAATAATACTAAGCTATAAGAAAAAGATATGATAGATGTAGGTGTATGGTAAGATTGGTAGATATATTAAAAACTAACGATGTTATAACGGTGTAAGGGTGATTTTGTCCAATGCAAATGAATGTACAACAATTAAAGCAAAATGTATATATTTATTAGCATATAAAATAGGGACAAAAATCAATGACATAACTTGTATTGACACTTATTATGTTTTTAGATTCATTGCTGAAAATTAACCCCTAGATATATTCATTGTTATCAAAATGAGAATTTAGTGCATCCCTGTTTGGTTCAAAAATTCAATTCACACAATTTAATAATATCTGATAGTTTATATATATTACAAATAACCAAAATATTAAATTTAGAATATAGTCATAAGTGAAGAATAAAAGTAGTATTTTCTCAAAGAACATATAACATGAATTCACGTTAACACTTGGCAATAAAGGTTGTCCGTCAAAATAGTGAAAGATAAGGTTGTCCTCATGCAAGTATATTAGAAGCCACCCGTGACATCGTATTTCTTATACTTGTTTCTGTAAAATGATCGTGATCATCGTGTATTATATATTGCCCAACTTTTCTTTCTCTTTTAATCATAAATAATATTTATTCATTGTCTCTCTCTATCTTCTCCCTAATCAGAAGTGAGCCTCTCCTCGGACGAATTCCTCCTTTTGCTCCTCAACCAATTGAGTTTACCTCAATCTCTCATTATCACTTCCTCGTATTCTGTCTTCTTGGATTATAGTCTGTTGACTCAAATTTAAATCTGTCAATAATGCATAACTACAAGAGTATCATGCTCTCACTCTATATATATACACTTCAAAATAGATTAGTAATTTTATAAATAATAAATTAATTATAATTACTAATTATTTGCTATTAAATCTCATCTCAATAATTATATATAGTACGTGAGTTTGGCGAAAAGGTTAAATCTTTACATCAAAATTTGACCCGCAAAAATAAAATGGAAACTAAAGTGCACAAGTGAATATGAATTATCATCCTTGTTCATGAATACAATGTTGTAAAGTTTTATTGCACGTGACTCTTTGCAAATCACAACCGGTTTGTGTCAACTTGCAAAATACGACCCACGACCCAAACTTTATTACTATATAGGATTGCGTTCAGATGCGAACGGCGCGCTCAGAAAAAAACTGTGAATCAACTAGCGCGCGACACGTGTCCAGATCTAGGTGCATCCGATCAATTAATAATAACAAGGCAAAATTACACGCACTTTGTGAAAGTAGGTGTACCCAATCAATTGCAATTAATGTTAACAAGGTAAAATTACATGCACTTGTAGGTGAAAGTAGGTGTATACTTATAAGTGATTTTACCTGCACTTTTTATTTTCATAGGTGCATCAACTACTTGCACATATAACACATTTACATGCACCACAGGACACGTGGCGCGCGCGGGTTGATTAGCAGTTCTTTCCTGAGCGGCCGTTCGCACGAGAATGTGCCCCTATATATATATATATATATTACACAAGGGAACTCACATTCACTATTTGAAGATATGTACAAAGTAAACACATTATTATATAATAGTTGATAAATCACAAATAAGAGGTAAACTAAATTTGAATGACATTGTGCAATAATAAATCCGGTATTCAAAGTTTAGTTTTCATACGATAATTGGTGAACTATGTTTTCTTCTTTTTTTGGTTTGAATTTTGTAAAGGATGTGACATATTAAAGAGTTGCTGGTTGAGATTTTTTTTGTAAGTGAAAATAAAATTTGACTCATTATTTTGTGTTGAAGTGTGTTTGCATTAATTTTATTTTGTGAGATTCGGAATAAAAACAAAAATATGAAATCGATTTTAAACAAAACCTGACCTTAGTCATTCTTATTACGCATGCTTTTCTTGCCACGATGATAGTCCCTAGACATAGAAATCCTTTCTGCTGTCCGTACGCCAACTATGTCTGCTATCCTTCCATAGTTTACATACATTCCATTTTTAATTGCAATCCTTACCCTAAATAAGAAATTGAAACTTGTGCAATCTTAATCAAATTAGTCAAGTAGAGATTTTTTTTTTTTTTTTTTGGAAAGCGTCAAGTAGAGAATTGTTAATTATCATAAAATTTTATGTTCAATTTTCTATAGGAGCTACTTATTGAATTTCTCAGTTTTAATTAGTCAGCATCGCATCGACTTTACCTAAAACACGTATTCAGGTACTAGCACGACCTCCAACTACCTTGTCGCAAAGTGTTGGTCAGCTTAATTTTCCATACAAGAGGGGGTTCAAACTCCCAACCTTTCTTAAAGGATGAGAGTGTACAACCAGTCAACCAATCACGCCAACTAAACTGGTTGTGTTGCTATTGTATTTGATTACATGAGTTCCTAATTAATAAATTGTACGATTAAAATGGGAGTCAATAAAAATAGAGAGCTTCCCACTTTCAATGAATGATATGTTAAGAAGTCAAGAATATTGATGGACGAATTTCTGGTCATGAGTTCAAATATTTACCGACTATTCGATATTCGGTGATATAATATACTATATTGTATATACACCTAACATTTCAAAGGAAATAACAAACTTTATACATGTCGTATGGGAAATGGACAATAAATATGGTAGTTTTAATTATTTTGCAATAATATATGTACATAGCATATAATTATTCACCAAGAGATCAGATCAGACCAAATGACAAGCAAAGAACTCAAGTAGATTTTGACCCTCTGATCATCCTATACTTTATTCTTAGCTTTACTTAATCATCTTTGAAATTTGGATTTGTACTAGGTAGGGGCCAAGACAAAACAATGTTGTTAACATTACCAGCTCAAGAAATAATTGAAGTATGTGCTCAATCTCAACAAAGTCTAAATTAATAATTGGATTGTACATTTATGTTTATATATATTATATACTCAATAGGAATAAGGAAGAATGTATATATCCTTATTCGACAATACTATACGACGTGGAGACAAATCCTTGCGTATAATATGGACCATATATTTGATTTCTATCCCGGCCATTTCCATTTGAATTGATCAGTTTAAATTAAATCGCACTCATTTTTACACCCATACACTTACATAATGCTTAGGGTAAAATTGATTGGTGCATTCCGCAATTTACCTGACCAGAGCAACGCGAGACACTTAAATTTGTAACTCGCAATTTACCTGACCAGAGCAACGCGGGACACTTAAGTTTGTAACCAAACATATAGAAAGCCTAGCTAGGGTCAAAAGTAATTATGGGGGTGGGTTGAAAGTGAAATAATAGCATAAAGAAATGGGGAGCTTGACTTAATGCATGGGGAATGAATGAAGAGGGCAGGTCGGAGTAAGTTTTGAATTGGGTCGTCATTCTTGGCGTGATTTGTTCAATAAAAGTGTCGTTTCGTTTGGGTGACTAACCTACCCTCCTCCTACTTTTTTCCCCACATTATGGCTTAGTTTGATCAACTTACCCATATCTGTAAATTCATTCAATAATCCTACTTTCATTATTAAATTCATTTACATACTACTCTACTTTTTCGGTACGTTAAATATAATATTGATAATCACCTTAGTATGAATTGAATCATACATTTTACATTTACTCATAATCATTAATTATAGGTGAAACTTATCTCGATGAGATAATTAAACAAGTGTACGAAAGCTATTACTGATAAGCTTAGTTGATAGGCGAATAGAGAGCCTTAGCCTTGGAATTAAACTTGTGACTAGCTTAATGATTGCCAAAAACTTTGCTCACAAGATTTAAGTGATTAGGAGTTGATTACCAATGGAGCCATTGCACCAATTATGCATCAATCATAGCTTAGCTATAGGGAAAATTTCTAAGAAAACGTTTTAAAGTATTGTTTAAATACTTTATGTTAAAACAAAAAAGGATGAATAACCTAAGTATGATGCATGTGACATTCTTAACCCAACTAGAATTGGTGAAGCCAATTGTTAGTGATCCTTCAATTCATTAGGCTTAAAATGACTATTGTCCAACCATATTTGATCCAAGTTGTAAGTTGGTGGATGGTGATAAAAATTTTATTTTATGTAAAAACAAAAGAAAAAAAAAAACATTGGGTGCATTTTATTACTAATGGGAGAGATGGTCATTTTTGTT